TGCTAAATAATGCTTTCTCTGTATAGACTGTCCTAATAGCCTTTAAAAGTAGATATGAAGTTAAAACGATTCAAATTTTACAGTTGTAATCATTTGCCATTTTAATCGAGTTCATATTTCATCTGATGCTCCCCAGCACTTTGCAACGGGACATAGATTATCATTAAGTAATGTTTGATTAAGGGGACTGTGAAGATTGTTGAATTTTCACTTGAAATCATGAACCATTTTAGGTCAACTCAACATCGGACACCTGGAAGCAGTAGATAGCCGTTAATCCTTAGTATATGTGTTTCCTCAACAATGATTACCTACAACGCTTCACTAGAGTATCGAACGCACGACTTTCAGTCTTGAACGCTTGAATGCTTAACACCTAAAACCACTTACGATATCTAAAATCAGTTTATGGTTTAAACTATGAACATAAAATTCACAATTTTCATTGTGTAAATTCACCCTCAATAGACAAGAGTAGTAACTTTACATAGGTTTTCAGCAGAATGAAATACTGCCACGTGCTAGCATTACAGCTCAGTCCTGTGACGTAACCACACAGGTACCTGATACCCTGATGAACCATTCACACCATTCATATACACTAGTACATATATAGTGATTATTTCTGATCCATGATCACGTCGTCAATCAATATGCACTGCATGAACAGGCCATTTCGACTCATCCCGATCACATGACTATTAACCTCATTATTATTATTATTATTAGCAATGGTGATATGCAATATAGCGCATCCTCACGAATGTTGCAAAACAACCACTTGTAATATCAATGAAACCGGTCACGGACTGTTAGTAAGATTTGTCAAAGTAATGTCAAGTCATCCACGTTGTTCATCACAGTGAACCTCTGGTCTCACAGAAAACCTTCAGCTCTATATAGCGAAATAACTTATGGTATATATACATCCTACAGTATTAGGATAGCAAGAGATACAGTCCAGCTTCAGTCAGTCAGATGCAAAGTAGAACTTCGTATGTAAGTACATCAGTTCATGTCGCCATACCACATCAGCACACAGATGTAATTGTCAATTCAAATCCAATAGAAGAAGAGGTAGTAAAGGTATTAGAAGTAATCGGAGAGGTTAGGGTTAGAAGATATTATTCAAGAATTATGATTCAGTGGGAAAAGTTTAGAAAGTTGAAGAATCCATAAGATTAGCATTTGAGAGAACACAAAGCATAAATGCACCGGCGCCATTGCAAACGATTTTGAGCCATGTCATTCAAGGTCTCTAACCATCGATTATTATCATCTCGCGGACCCCAACCAGGTAGGTAGTCGACAATTACCGACATGGCTAAGTCCATTCATCCAGTGATTACATGGATTTCTGCCATGTTTTGGTACAGCCCAGCTGGATGCGAATTGGCTCAAATATACACTATATTACTTTTGGTCTCGTTTCGGATAATGATTTTTTCGCAATGGCGAAATTTTCATTTTTCCGACCATATGAAACCTGAGGTAAATAGAGGTGTAGTATCTGTATGAACCCTAACCTCTCCGATTACTTCTAATACCTTCACTACCTCTACTACTATTATGGGATTTGAATTGACAATTACATTCCTCTGTGCTGATGTGGTATGACAACATGAACTGATGTACTTACGTACGAAGTTCTACATTGCATCTTACTGACTGACCGACTGATTATCTGTATGATTATGAAATATCGGATCGTTATTTAATAAAAAAGAGTAACATTCTATATTTCATCTTGCGAATTATCGATTTTATTTTATTGATTTTTACAGCCAACAACTAAAAAGGCAAAAATTCCAAAAGGTTTACAATCGATTACAAATTTCTTTGTGAAAAAATAAATGAGTATTTGTCATCTATATTTATTCGTTTGAATGTGTCAATCTAATCAGCTGTTGTATTTTGTTAAAATTAATTTTATTAATGTCTATGTGTATTTTTATTATGTAGATGTTGTATATAATTTTGTTTGCTGAATGTGATCTCATTTTGATAAAGATTCAGAAAAAAATTATTTTTTTTATTGAAAAATGGTGTTTTTGAACCACCCACACACACACAGGGGTCATGTAATTTCGTAATATCCCAATTCTAACAGTTAAGAAGTTTAATTAGTCAGTCAGTCAGTCAGGTGCAACGTAGAACTTCGTACGTATGTATGTACATAAGTTCATGTTGCCATACCATATTAGCACAGAGACGCAAATATCAAATCAAATCTCATAGTGGTAAAGACAGTAGATGTATTAATGGTAATGAAGATGACTAGGGTTTGAAGATATTATTCAAGAAGTATAATTCAGTGAGATAAGCTTAGAAAGACGAAGGTAGAGGGGCTGACGATTCCAGAAGATTAGGATTTGAGAGAGCACAACGAATGAATGCACTTGCACCATTGCAAACGAATTTGAGCCATATCATTCAAGGTCTCTAACCATTGGTGACTTCGATCTCGCACACCCCAACCAGGTAGTCTACATCTACCAACATGACTCAATCCACTTGTCAGTTCAATTAGTATTTACTAGCTTTTTAGATCCGAATTGTTACTCAAAGTCAGGTTTACCAACGTTTATTTAGGAAATAAAAGTTACAGACTTGTAGCAATTCAATCAGTCATCAGCAACTGATAGGCAGTCAATCAATCAATAGCAACATAGAATTTCGTACGTGTGTACATTAGTTCAAGTTGCCATACCATATCAGCATAGAGATGTAATTGTCAATTCAAATCCCATAGAAGTAGAGGTAGTAAATGTATTAGCAGTAATCGTAAAGATCAGGATTCGAAGATATTGTTCAAGAAGTAGAATCTAGTGAAATAAGCTTAAAAAACAGAAAGATGAAGTGATTAGGAATTCAGAGGGTTAGGATTTAGGAGAGAACACAAAGAATGGATGCACCTGCGCCACTGCAAACGGTTTTGGACCATGTCATTCAAGTTCTCTAACCATCGATTACTATCATCTCGCGGGCCACAACCACGTAGTCGACACCTACCGACATGACTCAGTCCAGTTGTCAGTTACCTTGTGAATTTATGCCATGTTTTGGTTTGGCCGCACCTAGCTTTATTCCAACCTATTCCTGCACCGCATACGTAGCACATGGTCCAATCACCTCAACTGATGAAGCTTCATTACTTCATCTATTGATCTGTCATCCTTACCTAGGACCCATTTCCTAACGACAGCATAGCTTACTCGGTTGTCCCATGATACACGAACAACGCTTCTTAGACACCTAAGACCGAAAACCAGCAACCAACGAATATTTTCTACTCTAACTGGCCATGTTTCACAGCCATAAAATGGGAGTGAGCGAACTGCTGCGCAGTACACTCGTCCTTTAGTTAGCAAACGGATATCTCACCTACGCCATAAGTGACGCAGGTTGGCAAAAGCTAATTGAGCTTTCTGTATCGGTGCTGAGATTCCATCACACACTAGGCCATCAGCACTGGTGAAGCGGTCTACATATTCGACCACTTCACACCCTGTCACTAGTTCAGGTTCCAATGCATTCCAACCTTGAAGCAATATTTTGCATGTCGTGGGAGAAAACCACATCCCGAACATGCGTTGTTGCTTAGAGTAGTTAGGAGACATTGCATTTTGTCTGTGTCTTCAGTGAATAGAACTGTCATCGGCATATTCTAAGTCAACCAATAAATCTGGTAGAAGGTCTGCTCGTGAAAGTTCAGACGAAGATAATGTTATATCTAGGATTATGTCTATGGAAAAATTTAACTAGGTAATGCACTTCTTTGGTACACCTTTCAATGTCGGACACTGCAGTTATCTGAGTAGAGCTTCAGCAGACGGTCGCTATTATCGGTTCTATGAGTTGCGATACCGTAAAATCCACCCAGGTGTCTTTCATTTTCATTTAGTCTACCTACTTGAACATTAAAGTCACCAACCACCATTACTATATCAAAGTGCCTAACTTTTTGGACTACGTCCGAAAGCTCTCTGTAAAACTCATCTTTTACCTCGTCTGAGCTGCAGTCAGTGGGAGCGTAGGCGGAGCCAACGGCAAGTGTCCCTATCTTTCCGAGTCCTTACTGTCCTGTTTAGTCGGATAGTACATAAGCGATGGTCTACCGGGATCCACTTTCGGAGAGCTAGTTCTGCCCGACGACCTAATACTATACCTACGCAGGCGAGGTCACGGGTAGCAGCTTCAGGGCTGCTAGAAACACAGAGCGTAAACCATGTTGATTCTCTACCTGCACTAGGTGGAATCATATTGATGATGTTACTCTGATCTTGTTTGCGCGTTTCGGAGACGCAACATACATTGATCGCCCAGGATTTCAGAAGCCTGTTGCCCTATTCAGCACAATGTCTGGAAAAAAAATCCTTCATTTAGTTTAGTACGGGGTTTCGGGAGACCAGGGATAATGTTTCAAGAGTTCAAAGCGTTCGCTTCACTGGCGCGAGGTGACGAACGATATAAGGCAGGGTTAGTTGTGGAGATAGGAGAGTTATTAGGATATTTGGAAATGATTTGATTGTGACTGATTCGTTCTCGTGTGCTTTTATAAGTATGAGGGCGGATGTTACTTCTTGGCTGCCCACATTGTGGAAGGGTTCTGGTCTTTAGAAGGAGTTCCGGCCTGATGACTTGCGAAGGAACTCGGTTTTCATTATTCGACGTCAGAGTTTATGTGGTATGAATTATTTTTCCTTGTTAACGTCTTTTTAGCTTTGGACCGACAGCAGCTCTGAAGGGTCTACAGGCGGAGTTTCAATTAGTATTTACTGGCTTTTAAATCTTACGTGTTCCTCAAAGTTAGGTTCACCAACTTTTAGTTGATAATTTCCTTTAGGCATCAGCAACTCATAGCGTCTAATCATGTTTTTACTCAAGGATAATATGACGTGTTACTTGAACTTCAACTTGATGTAAAAAGTAATGACGACACTTTGTTTATACTTATGCTCACTCTCGAAACTGTTTACGACATGATAAAAATTCTTAAAATAGACACCACCGCATTGATTTGATTATCGACGATAAAATTATCATCCTACTATCAAGATCACACTAATTTTTCTCTAGTATAACACTTAACTACTTATAAACACTTATAAGTAATCACTGTTTGTTCATCTAAAAGTTTCTACAGGCGAATTCATACTTTTGGTGATGGTAATTTGTAATGTAGTGAATTTGATCTGGGGAAAATTTCTCCAACAAAACAAAATAAATGATTTATTATTATTATTATATTTTTACATTATCTGAATTATTGATTGATTAACGAAAAAGAAAATGAAACAGAACAAGTTTCATCGGTTAGTATTTTCTTTTTTCTGGAATATAAGAAGTACGTACATACATATAGATTATATATGTATGATGTAATGAGTATTGGTGGATGAAATTCAATTCCCCGTTAATATACTGTCTCGCTCTCTCACACACAAACATACACATGAGTACTGATACATACATTCGTTGTGCTCTCTCAAATCCTGATCTTCTGTATTCGTCAGCACCTCTAAATTTGTCTTTCTAACCTTATCTCACTGAATTATAATTCTTGAATAATATCTTTAAACTCTAGTCTTCTTCATTAACATTAATACCTCTACTATGTTTATCACTATGGCATTTGATTTGACATTTGCATCTCTGTACTAATGTGGTATGGCAACATGAACTTATGTACATATGTACGAAGTTCTACGTTGCAACTGACTGACTGATTAAGACTGATTCCCCTGTGATTGTCACAAGAAGCCTTGTGTCGTTTCTTATACATTAGGACAATCAAGGATTGAGACCACTCGGATGGGATTACGTCCAGTTCCCAGATTCTACCTAAGATCTCAGTCAACCTAGCTGCTAAAACTGGACCACCATCCTTAAATATCTCAGAGGTCAGTCTATCAGGACCTGCAGCTCGCCCTCGCTTCAGATTTTCTAACGCTTTCTCAACTTCAAAAAGACTAGGGGAACTTACGCCGATATGCCATTCAGGATGACTGGAGATCGTGGGTGACCGAAAAGTGGCTCGTGGCCAGTTGAACTGATCCCTAAAATGCTTTGCCCATCGGACCATTCTTTTCCGAAATAGTCTCACTCACATTTGGGTTCCTAATACCAGTATCTTTAATGAGTCTAAATAGTTGCCTACTGTTGCCTATCGTCACTGCCTCTTCCATCTCTCGCTTGCTCCACCCACCACTGTTTCAACCTTTTCCTATATCGCAAAACATAGCTCGACAAGACAGTCAGTGTCAGCAAATGCTAGCGTCTAATCATATTCTTACTCAAGGATAATATGCCGTGTTTTCAATATATTTTCTAACTAATTAGTTTGTTATTCCTGTTCCTTGAACTTCAACTTGATGTAAAAAGTAATGACGACACTTTGTTTATACTTATGCTCACTCTCGAAACTGTTTACGACATGATAAAAATTCTTAAAATAGACACCACCGCATTGATTTGATTATCGACGATAAAATTATCAACCTACTCTATCAAGATCACACATTATTTTTTCTCTAGTATAACACTTAACTACTTATAAACACTTATAAGTAATCACTGTTTGTTCATCTAAAAGTTTCTAGTCGCGAATTTACACTTTTGGTGATAGGAAAATTTTTTTCAACAAAACAAAAAAATAAAATGATTTATTATTATTATTTTTTTTACATTGTAAGTATCTGAATTGTTTATTAATTAACAAAAAAGGAAAAAAGAAACAGAACAAGTTTCGTCAGTCAGTATTTTCTTTCGTCTGGAATATAAGGAGTACGTGCAAACATATAGATGGTATTGTATGATGTACTGGGTATTGGTGAATGAAATTCAATGCTCCGTCAATATACTCTCTCTCTCACACACACACACATACATACGTACACGTCAGTACTGACACATTTGACTCAACACATATTAGTCAGTATATAAAGGAAAACAAATATGCAAGTCATAAATAATGAAAAGAATGTCATACTCACACACATG